CCCCAGCACCCAGGCCCTGGGGATGGTCCCTGTGCCCATTACCCTCACTCTGGGAATGGTCAGTGTCCCCAGTCCCCACACCCTGGGGATGGTTAGTGCCCCCAGTCCCCACACCCTGGGGATGGTCAGTGCCCCCACACCCTGGGGATGGTCAGTGTGCTCAGTCCCCACACCCTGGGGATGGTTAGTGTCCCCAGCACCCAGGCCCTGGGGATGGTCCCTGTGCCCATTACCCTCACTCTGGGAATGGTCAGTGTCCCCAGTCCCCACACCCTGGAGATGGTCAGTGCGCCCAGTCCCCACACCCTGGAGATGGTCAGTGCGCCCAGTCCCCACACCCTGGGGATGGTCAGTGCCCCCATACCCTGGGGATGGTCAGTGCGCTCAGTCCCCACACCCTGGGGATGGTCAGTGCGCCCACACCCTGGGGATGGTCAGTGGGGTGCTCTGAAGGCCTGAGGCCTCCTCATCCCCGGGCTGGGAGTAAGGAAATGGCGCGGGCATCAGCTCAGCGTCGGGCTGGAGGAGACGGATTGATCCGGTCCCCAGTCCCCCCGCCTCACTCGCCCCCGGGGCCCGGCTACGGAACAGCAGGCCCGAAGCCTGAGGCCTCGAGTGGAAGGCCACCGCGAATCGGGCGCCAAAATGCGCGCGGGCCCGGGGGTGATTGACAGGTCCCGGGGGTGATTGACAGGTCCCGGGGGTGATTGACAGGTCCCGGGGGTGATTGACAGGTGCCAGTTCCCCGGGAGAGGCTTTGCTCACTCACTGACGCGGCCGGTACCTGGTACTCGCTGCTATTGCTGCTGCTGCCGGCGCCGCTCACTCCCAGCCGCTTCTGGTAAAGTTCAGGGCGAGGAGGCGGAGAGACAGATCAGTAAAGAGGGGGGATGGTGTGGAGGGAGAGAACAGCACAGCACAGAGGGTTACCACAGCTGGCTGTCGGTGCACACAGGCTCCGGCTACAAACACACATTCCTATCTCTGTGCAATGCACGGCGAGGCTGCCGCTTCGCTGCTGCCGAATTTGCACCAAATGTTGGGAGTTATGCATTGGAGTGAGAATCAAAATACACAGACACAAAGCATGCACACAAGTGCAGATTGGCAGAGGGCGAACACTGCTTGATCTGGATTGCACTCAGATTTTATTGAACCCGCAGTGTTCGGAGGGTCAGTGCTGGGGGAGCGCCGCACTGTCGGAGGGTCAGTGCTGAGGGAGCGCCGCACTGTCGGAGGGTCAGTGCTGGGGGAGCGCCGCACTGTCGGAGGGTCAGTGCTGGGGTGGGCCGCACTGTCGGAGGGTCAGTCCTTGCCGGTTCTGGGGAATACTCAGTTGAGGAACAAGGTGGACATTTGGAGACCCCTTTGTCTAAGTTGACATCATAAGAATGGATGCGACTGAGATGGAGGGACTTGGAGAATGGAATAAAGTCTTTTCAGGAATCATGGTGTAAGGATGTATGTTCAAGGTAGCTGTAGGAGTCAGTCAGTTTGTAGTGGATATTGGTGGCCAGTCTCTCCCCAGAAATGGAAACAGATGTTGAGGAAGGGAAGGATGGAGTCAGAGATGAACCAGGTGAAGATGAGAGTGGGATGGAAATTGGAAAGTAAATCGATTAACTTTTCCAATTGCGGACTGGGGAGGGAAGCAGCACCAATGATATTAACAATATATTGGAGAAGGTGTTTTGGGTGGGGGCCCGAATAGGACTGGAAGAAGGAATGTGCCATGTACCCCACGAAGAGACTGTCGGAACTGGGGCCTATGCGGATACCCATTGACATCCCTCTGACCTGAAGAAAATGAGGAGTTAATAAAGAACCTCGGCCTGGCGGAGGAGGGGTTGGTGGATGGGGACGGTTCAGGCCTTTTTTTCCAGGAAGAAGCGGATAGCCCTGAGATCATCCTGATTGGGGATGGGAATGGACGTGTAAAGGAATTGCATGTCTATGGTGAAGAGGAGGCAGTTGGAGCCTGCAAACTAGAAATTCTGAAACTGACCTGAAGTGTCAGAGGAATCCCAGATGTAAGTGGGAAGGGTCTGGACAAGCACAGAAACAAAAAATCGAATCAAGTTCGGAAGAGATGAGTTCTGTGGGGCAGGAGCAGGCAGAAATAATGGGTCTGCCTGGGCAGTTGTGTTTGTGGATTTTGGGAACGAAGTAGAAGGAGCTATGTGGGGTTGGTGGTCTATCAGCTTGGAGGCATGTTGGGGGTGGGGTAATCACAGGATGAAATGAGATTAGTGGCCTGATGGCCTGATGTTCCACAAGGGTCATGGTCCGGGAAGATAGGAGGAGATATCTGAGAGCTGGCACTCAGCCTCTGCAATGCAGAGGTCTGTCTGCCAGCACACAACAGCACCATCCTTATCAGCAGGCTTAATTACAAAGTCAGGGTTGGATCTGACAGCATGGAGTGCAGTCAGTTCAGAGGGAGATGGTTGGAATGGGTGAGGAAGGGCAGCGAAATTGAGGTGTGAGTTCTCAAGCACAGATTGAGTGCAGGTAAAAAGTCAGATGGAGAGGTCCAGGTGGAGGGAGAGTGTTGGTGGTCCGTGGGATGGGAAGAGGAGTCTTGTCTAAAGAAATGGGCATGGAGACGAAAGCAGTGGAAGGAGAGTTCAATGTCTTGTTGTGCCCAAAATTCATTAAGGTAGGGATACAGAAGAATGAAACCGAGAGCTTTGCTGAGTACAGTACATTCAACATCAGAGAGCAGAAGGTCAGGACAGATAGTACCACCACTGACAGGAGTTGGGTTGGGAGGGATGGAGTCAGCAGGGAGGAAAGTTCCAGAGGCCTGTGGGTATCTGTAGGTTGTTGTATCTTGAGTTCCTTGATGCCTGAAAGGAAAAGAAACATTTTCTTTGTTAGCGTGTGGAATGAACCAGAGGATGAAGTGGAACTGGGGAGCAGTGCTGATGGAGAGAGTCGAGAGTGCGAATATGGTGATGCATGGCACTGAGTGTGGATCTCAGGATGCAGCGAGAGCAGCTCTCTGTGGAACGTCGAACATCATGGCGATACCTGGGTGGATTCAAAACGTGAAATCCATGTGGGTGAATCTGAGCTGGATGTAGTCACCGAGGAATGTGATGTGGCTGTGGAAATGAGTTTTCGCAAATACCTTGTCAAACACCAGGAGCGACAGTGAAATTAGTGACGATGAACAAGAAAAATGATTGGAATGGAAATTCTGTCAGAGAGAAGAGCAGAACTTCTTCAAGATGGTCATGCCTGAAGGAGATGTGGTAGTGAGTTAAATCCTAAAGAACAACGAAAAGAACTGCAGATGCTGGAAATCAGAAACAAAATTATAAATTGCTGGAAAAACTCAGCAGGTCTGGAAGCATCTGCGGAGAGAAATCAGAGTTAATGTTTCAGGGTCAGAACTGATGGTAGTCAGAAAAAAGTTTTTTTACACAGAAGATAGGGTGTTGAAGTTTGTGTCACCACGCAACAGAGACAGAGGAACTGGGAGAATAACTGAGTCTTTACCGGAAGTAGGCTGTGAGGTCTTCATCTAAGAAATCCGCGCTGACTATCCCTGACCAATGTGTTGTTGTTGTTGTTGTTGTTGTTGTCTGGGCCGGGTTGCCTCTAGGACCATGTGGACTCCTTGACCGGTCTAAGTTTACCCAGGTGCCTATGCGCGTATTGGGGAGGGCGGGAAGGAGCACGAGCTCGCGGCCGTTAGTTGGTGAAGTGGGTCTCACAGGTTTATTCGAAGACAGCAAAGGTAAGAGTTAAACCTTCAAAGTTTTAACTTTAATGATTTCACTGGTAATTGCTGGATTCTTTAGAAACTTGGATAGTTCCCAGGTAACAAAGACGGAAGTTCCTGGAAAAGCTTGATAGGTCTGGCAGCATCTGTGAACAGAAAAACAGAGTTAACATTTCGGATCCAGTGATCCTTCCTCAGAACTGATGGTAACGAGGAAAATGTCGGGTTATATGCGGATGATAGGGTGAAGGTGAGGGCCAGGGGCTGAAGAGTAAACAATAGGTGGGGATAGAGCCCAAAGAGAGAGAAGAGCATTTGGACAGACAGAGGAGTAGATGACAATCAGGCTGGGAGGGTGAATAACTGTTATTTAATGGAGAGTGTTAGTGACTAATGATAAGTGGTGTGTAATGGCAGGCCATGTGGTAACAAGGCCTGGTGTGTGGGCTAGGGGACTCGGATGTGGGAGAGTTCAGGGCCAAAAGTTGTTGAACTCGATATTGAGTTCGGAGAACTGCAGGTTTCCCAAGCGGAAAATGAGGTGTCGTTCTTCTAGCTTTCACTGAACAATTCGCCGGAACACTGCAGCAACCCAGAGGCAGAGATGTTGGTCAGGGAATAGTTCTGAGGAATGGTCACTGGACCCAAAACGTCAACTCTGATTTCTCTTCACAGATGCTGTCGGGACTGCTGAGCTTTTCCAGCAACTTCTATTTTCGTTTCTGATTTACAGCATCCGTAGTTTTTTTGGTTTTTACTTCCCAGATGATAGGCATATGGATGATAGTATAAGGTAGGGGTGGAGGTTAGATAGACCTTAGGTTTAGGGTAAAAGTTCGACACAACACCGTGGGCCGAATGGTCTGTACTGTTCTATGTTCTATAATCATAGCTTTCAACCGATTTGTCAAATTGTTTGATTCACTTGAGTGCTGCTTATACAGTTACCTCCTAGAATTTTTTAAGGGCTTGACCAATCAGGGACATTGACTTAATTTGGTTTTGTCACCTCTAGGAAGTGTTGGAAAAGGTGCAGAGGAGATTTACCAGGATGTTGCCTAGAATGGAGGGAAGGTCTTACGAGGAAAGGTTGAGAGAGCTAGGGCTTTTCTCTTTAGAACGACGAAGGATGAGAGGTGACTTGATAGAGGTGTACAAAATGATCAGGGGTATAGATAGAGTAGACAGCCAGAGACTTTTTACTAGGATGGAGGTAGCTATTACAAGGGGGCATAGTTTTAAAGTGAGTGGAGGTAGATATAGGGGAGACGTCAGAGGTAGTTTCTTTACTCAGAGAGTGGTCGGGGCGTGGAATGCATTGCCGGAGAGGGTAGTGGAATCGGCCTCATTAGGGGCATTTAAGCGGCTATTAGATAGGCATATGGGTGATTATATAATGTAGGGGTGGAGATTAAAAAGACCTTAGGTTTAGGGTTAAATTTCAGCACAACATTGTGGGCCAAAGGGTCTGTACTGTGCTGTACTGTTCTATGTTCTATAACTCCAGTTAATGGCTTTTGATGCCTTGCTAACAGTGAGGCCTTTGTATCTGCTTTGAGGGCTGCTATATGGCCCAGAATTTGCTTGTGATCTGTTGTTTTACTGAGGCCCTGTGTATTTTGTATTGTTTTGTTTGTCAGGAAATGTTGAACTGCCCTTTCACACGTTCATGTATTCTGGCGCCTCTCTAGTTTTCAGTTGTCTGGGCTTGAATGTTGCAAGGACCCTCTTTGTATCTTGTCTAAAGTATTCCCAGTATGCTTTGCTTTTTGACCAATTCCTGTGCCTAGTTTATTTCAGTTGCTGAGCTTGTATTTCTGGTTTTACTTTTTTTTAAAAATGATTTTTGTTTTACTTGAGCAGTTGCAGGCTGCTACAATGTAATGATTAATCCTGTTCTTCAGAATTTTTGAAGGGTCACCCCTCTTTTTAATGCACTGTACCTGATACATGCTTCCTTCAGTTACTTTTTCAAACTCTATCCCTTGACATCCAGGGCTGCAGGACCTGCTACCCTTGCCCTTCATTTTAGAGGGACTTGCTGGCCCAAAACTCTCACGATAGGGGATGGTCATTGGGATTTGCTCCAGGTCAAGCTGGGGGCCTGCAGAGCTTCAGTTGACCTTGAGTGTGTAGAGAGGAGAATGTAGTACACCAG